TTGAATCTGGACAAATTTTTGAAGGATGATCATCCTACTATTATAGAGGATGAAGTAGATGCTGCAACCGCATTCAACAATACCGAAGCATGGAAGCACTCTGATTTCCTATGTTGTAACTACATCTTGAATGGTTTATCTGATGCACTTTATGAAATATACAACGTAAAGAAAACGTATAAGGAACTATGGGAATCATTGGATCATAAATACAAAACTGAAGATGATGGTGCTAAGAAATTCTTAGTTGCCGAATTCTTAAACTTTGTAATGGTTGATTCTAAAACTGTTGTGAATCAGGTGCAAGAATTCCAACTAATCGTTCATGGTATTCTTGCAGAAGTGATGATTATAAGTGAATCCTTTTAGGTGGCGGCCATTATTGAAAAACTTCCACCTGCTTGGAATGACTTTAAGAATTACCTTAAGCATAAAAGAAAAGAAATGACAGTGGAAGATCTGATTGTGAGACGTCGGATTGAAGAAGACAATCGATGTGCGACTAAAAGGCTAAACAAAACAGCCAATCATAACACTGCCAAGGCAAATATGCTGGAAGTCAAAAAGAACTTCAAGAAAAGAAAGCAAGCTCAAATTGAGTCTAAACTAGGACCAAAAGGTGGTGTTTCTAAGAAGCAAAAATTCCAAGGGAAATGCTTTAATTGCAATAAGACGGGACACATGTCATCTGAATGTAGGCTTCCAAAAAGGTCCATAACAAAAGAGGCTAATGTTATGACAGAAATTTCCAAGGAAGTGTCTGAACTTGACTTATGTGTTGTGGTCTCTGAAGTTAACTTGGTTGATTTAAATCTAAGAGAATGATGGCTTGATACTGGTGCCACACGCCATATTTGTTGTGACAAGGACTCCTTTACAGAGTTGGTTTCTTGTGAGAAAGGAGAAAAGTTATATATGGGCAATGATGCAACTTCCAAGATCAAGGGGAAAGGCATTGTAATTTTAAAGATGACTTATAGAAAAGAGTTGAAACTTCAAAACGTGTTGTATGTGTCTGACATACAAAAGAACCTTGTCTCTGGGACCCTCCTAAGTATACATGGCTTTAGGATGGTATTTGAATCCATAAGTTAGTTTTTATCAAAAGGGGGAATATTTGTGGGAATGAGATATGTATTGAACAATATGTGGAAACTCAATGATATCTCTGTAAAAGCTAAAAATATAAATAAGAATGATTTTTCTTCTTCTGTTAATATGATTGAGTCATTAAATTTATGGCATGATAGACTCGGACGTGTTAATTATGATACTTTATGAAGATTAATTAACTTAGAACACATTCCCCCATTTCACATTAATTATAATCATTAATGTGAAACATGTGTTGAAGCTAAACTAACAAGGTCTTTATTTAATCCCGTTGAAAGAAATACAAAACCTCTTGATCTAATACACAGTGATGTTTGTGACCTAAAATTTGTTCAAACTAGAGGAGGGAATAAATATTTTATACCTTCATTGATGATAGCACAAAATATTACTATGTATATTTGCTTAAAAGCAAAGATGAAGTTATAGTAAAATTTATTCTCTATAAGCAGGAAGTTGAAACCCAACTTAACAAAAGGATTAAGAGGGTGAGAAGTGATCGTGGTGGTGAATATGTTGAACCATTTGGTCAATATTGTGCACAACATGGTATTATTCATGAAGTAACACCACCATACTCTCCTTAATTGAATGGAGTAGCAGAGCGGAAAAATTGAACATTAAAGGAAATGATGAACGCTATGCTAGGAAGTTATGGGTTGTCACAGAACATGTGGGGGAAAGTTGTCTTATCAACAAATTACCTTTTAAATAAGGTGGCCCACAAGAAAAAAATACAAGACACCATATGAGTTGTGGATAGGCAAAAAACCTTCCTATAATTACTTGAAAGTGTGGGGGTGTCTTGCAAAGGTAATGGATCCTTTATCAAAGCAAATAAAAATAGGTCCTAAAATAGCGGATTGTATTTTCATTGGCTATGCTCACCACAACAATGCATATCAATTTCTTGTGCATGAATCAAAGAATCCAGAAATTCACAATAATACGATATTATAATCTAAAAATGCCTCATTCTTTGAAAATATATTTCCTTGTAAAATTAGAGAAGGTAACTCAAGTTCAAGGAAACAAACTTTAGAAACTGTTAATGAAAATAGTCAAGACTTCCAACAAGAGGTTAAAGTCGAGATAGAGCCAAGAATAAGTAAAAGGGCACGGGTAGAAAAATCCTTTGGATCAGATTTTCTAACCTATATGCTAGAGACTGAACCTGTAACTTATAGCGAAGCTATACGTTCATCTGAAAGTAATTTTTGGAAAGATGCCATCAAGAGTGAAATTGATTCCATCATGAAAAATCATACGTGGGAATTAGTGGATCTTCCTCATGGAATTAAACCATTAAATTCTAAATGGATTTTCAAATGAAAAATGAAAGCAAATGGAACAATTGATAATTACAAGGCCAGATTGGTTATTAAAGGGTACTGACAAAAGGAAGGTCTTGATTACTTTGATACATATTCACCCGTATCAAGAATAACTTCTATAATGATTATTGCAATTGCCACTTTACAAAATTTAGAAGTACATCAAAATGGATGTTAAAACCGCTTTTCTTAATGGATACCTTGATGAGGAAATTTACATGGAACAACATGAGGGTTATGTAGCTCCAGGATAAGAAAAAAAAAGTATGTAAGTTGGTAAAGTCATTATATAGACTTAAGCAAGCACCAAAGCAATGGCATGAAAAGTTTGGTAGTTTTATGATATCAAATGGATTTAAAATAAATGGGTGTGACAAATGTGTGTATGTCAAAATCACTGTTGATGGATATGTAATCTTATGCCTATATGTTGACGACATACTCATCGTTGGAAGTAACAATGAAATGATAAAAGTACCAAAAATATGTTAAATTCAAAATTTGACATGAAAGATATGGGGGTTGCTGACATGATTTTGGGCATCCAAATCAAAAGGTCATCTGAAGGTCTCATATTGACTCAGTCACACTATGTAGACAAGATTCTTGAAATATTTGGAAAGGATGATTTTGGTGTAGCCAAAACTCCGATAGATACAAGTCAACATCTATCCAAAAATAAAGGTGAAAGTGTTAATCAAGTGGAATATGCAAGGATCATAAGCAGTCTAATGTACCTTATGAGTTGCACTAGACCTGATATTGCTTTCACTGTAAGCAGTTTAAGCAGATTTACAAGCAATCCAAGGGAGAAACACTGGAAAACAATTGTAAGGGTATTGAGATATCTCAGATATACTCGAAACTATGGATTGCATTATTCTAAAGATCCTTCTGTGTTAGAAGGATTCTCTAATGCCAGTTGGATATCTGATATTCAAGATACAAAAGGCACAAGTGGTTATATTTTCACTTTGGGAGGAGGAGTTGTGTCATGGAAATCCTCAAGACAAATAATTATAACCAGATCCACGATGGAATCTGAGTTTGTAGCCTTGGACAAAACTGGAGAAGAGGCAGAATGGTTACAAAATTTTTTGAAGGATATTCCTGAATGACCAAAGTCTATACCCAAAATATGTATATATTGTGATAACCAAGCAACAATTGGTAGAGAACAAAATGTAATGTATAATGGTAAGTCGAGACACATGCGACGTCGACACAATACCATTAGACAATTGATCTCAACTAGAGTTATTTCTATTGATTTTGTAAGATCAAAAGATAACATTGCGGATCCGCTAACCAAAGGGTTGAATCGAGATCAATTTGATAAAACATCAAGAGGAATGGGACTAAAGCCTATGAATTGTTAAGCCTCTATGTGAAGAAAAACCTAACCTAGTTGACTGGAGATCCCAAGATCTAGGTTCAATGGGAAAACCTACTTGTATAAACCTGGTGAGGTAACTGTGGGGGGTTTTCATCCCAAGCTCATTCCTATGATGAAAACAATGGCTAAAATATGGATAAGGTTAAGCAATGCTTTTAATGACCAATATGTGTTTCGTTGAACCGAACAACCTAAGTCACCTATGTGAGAATGAAGTGGAGCTGCTTCAAATAGACTATTAGGGCATAGTCCTCTAAGCTCTTATAGAACCAGGAGATGTCCACGACTATATGGACATAACCATGAGAACCAAACTCTTGTCAGTAAGATATTTGTGTGAGGTATGTCATTGCTTACACAAACAGCGGGACAGTTCAAGGACATCACGTCTACTAGACAACCAGTAAGGTAAACATATTTTCACAAGGGAAGGTTCAAAGGGGGACGCCTACCTATCCTATGCAAATATTGAACGTAGAATCTATCACCACATCGAGTCAATGTTTTAAACAATCAAATTCATTCATGTGGGGGATTGTTGGAAAAATATAAATGAATTGATCATGACTATTCATGAAAAATAATTAAGTCCTTTCATGAAAAATAATTATTTCATTTCACCCCAAAAGTCATATCTTTTCATATTAACCTTTTGATCAAAAGGTTATGATTTTTAATCAAATGGTTAAGTCATTTCATTTAAAGGTCTTAACCTTTCAATAAAGGTCTTAACCTTTCAATACAAATTCCTCTCCCTATATAAAGTCTAAGTTGTGACACGTCTCAACACACAATTTTTTTACTAATTTCTTTCAAGTATTTTCCTTTCAAATCTTCGATTCTTCCAAAGTCATTTTCCGGTGATAGATAAAGACAAAGATTGTGTTCGATTGTTCACTACGGTTGTGCTTACTGTTGTGAACGTTTGTTGTTGTATCCTGAGAGACCGACGTCCAACGTTACTCAAAGCACCAAGGAGAGGACGAATCTGTCTTAAGGAAATCGTTCATTCAGGCCTCAACAAAACTCTTCTTCTATTTATTCAGTTTCATCCGATTACAGGTTCTATTTTAATTTCACTTTTTTTTAACTTTATTATTGAAAATATATTTTTAGATTATAATACTACAACACTATTTTTCAATATATTGCAACAAAAGTTTATTCTTCTTCCATGGAGGCACAGCCTAGGATGGATCCACCTGCCAGACTACACATAGGCCGGATTTCCCTCCAGTTTAATGGCCTCCGTAAAGGATCACAAACTCTCACCCCAGCTAACCTCACCACATCGAATCTCCCAGCTCCTGAATCTTCCCACTTGAGAACTTTCCCTCCAAGAACATATAATTCATGTCTTAGTGCAATGAAACCGTAACCAAAGGCCTCGAGTTCTCGGGAGTGATCAGGCAGGCGAACCGGAGGAACGACACCAACATTGTACCACTCTCCTCTTAAACAATATCGTGTTTTAACTAAGCTCTCACCCCAATCCACCACAGTATAAACTTGATCATCCCCCATCACCTGAACAACAAATTGCATTGCCCTCGAAAAAGGCTAAATATCATTGACCATGTACCATGTTTTACTTGATGGATCAAAAATTTCAGATGGGTTTTGCTCTGCCAAGCCTACTTGGTCACTCAAAACATGAAATTTGCCTTTATATGATATACCTAGACAGTCCATTTGTGGGTTCGGCATTTCCGGCACATCCTCCCACCTGTAACTACCTCTGAAGTCATAAACCAAGAGAAAGCAATTTTGCAAATAAAAGAAAAATATGCATATGTCATAGATTGATACGGTAAGAAATAAATGATTGGAACACATTTTCAAACAATTAAAACATCCAACGGATGTCAGCAAGATGCACCAAGTGAAAATAGTGGAGAGTTGTGATAGTACTATAGCTGTTTTACCAACCCTCTTAAAATTAAACAAAAACATGTAATCCTTGAATAAATGCTTACCGATCACTTAGCGGATCATAAACCTCAGCAAGAGAAAACCCTCAGGGATAAGATAAGTTGTGCCTTCCAGCAACATAGACTTCCCCAACATAACAGAGCATGTAAAGTGAGATCGTGGTGTTCGCATACTTGTTAATCTGGTCCACCTTTTCCTATAAGGATCAAAAAGCATAACAACATTCGTTATCACAAGAGTTTGTCGCGGATAAGCAGTATCACGTGGTGCATGGGAGCCACCAATCACAAGAATCCGGTTGTAGACACACACCCATGAAAATCCAAAATGCTGCAAACCATCATGGTCAGTTGGAATCTTTGGCAAAAGATGCCATCTGTCGTAACCGTTTTTCGCCCAGACGGGGAAAAATCGATATCGATTGGGGTTTTCTCTTTGAAAATCATTTCGAAAGGTGAGGAGTCGTCACCAATCATTTGAGGTGCGATTGGAACACCATAAAAACCAGATGATTTTAATAAAACATTTTGTTTTTATCAAAATATCGAGTTTTGATATCTGTGAAAATCCAGAAATTCGGTTCGAGAGTCGGTTACGCGTGGGGAAGGATTAACACTCCCACAACCGCCCAAAAATTGGTACCTAGTTGATTACCCTATATTTAAAATCAGAAATTTGGAGTTTGATCTTTATTTAATTTAAAAATCATTAAGGATGCAAAGTTGAAAAGGGTATTCGTTTATCGAGACCGATAGCATTCGCCCCCGAGCATAAATACGGGAGATCAGCTATTGTGTCTAATAACCACATATTACATCATTTTTAGAAAACATGATATGATTTTGAAAAGGATGTCGACTTATTCAAGGAATTACCAGTAGTCACCCCCTGAGCACGATCGCGGGAGATATACTATTAATTCCTTAATAAGTGAACAGTGCCTTAGATTTGTAAAAAACAATGCAATCAAACAAAATTTTGCTTGTCCTAATTAAACTAAAAGTAAATTAAGGCTTATTCTAACTTAAAGTGTCAAATTATGAAAATTAAGGAACTTAAGGGCTCAAATCTTAAAATGTAAGTTCTAGTATTAAAGTTTAATGCTATACATTAAAATGGATTAAATATTCACGTATTAGAAAATTTCTTTCGATAATTTTAAAATGATCGAATATCACCCTTAGTTAATTTATTTCGATTAGAGTCAAGGGATGCTTATGAGGCTATCATGTAAAATTAATTAAGATGTCATGCAAAACATATGTACACATAAATGTATTTAAATGAAAATGAAAATACATCAAAAATATTTAATTAAAGATAAATAAAAATAAGACACATGCATCAAAACATAATAAGGAATCATCATGTGAACATAAAAAACAAATGAAAGAAACATGACCCTTAAATTAAAACAAATTATAGACAATAAATTATAATAAAGAAAATATAATGATAAGAAAGTATATTAAATCAAACAAATCAAAGCTTAAATTAGGGAAACTAGTGAGAAACAAATAGTATAATGATTACATATATATTATTAAGAAATTAAACATCATACGTAGCTTACATTAGTAGAGTGAAGAAACAAACATTACAGTGATTCCTTATATTATTATAATTAATAAAAAACTAAATCATTATAGCTTAAATTAAGGAAATAAGTGGGAAAAAATATTATAATAATTATATATATATTATAATAAAAAAACAAACTACTATATCTTAAACAAACAAAAGTGGTGATTTTGTACCAATATTAAATTATCAACCAACTAATATATATATATATATTCATAGATTGATGTTTAATAAAAATAATATGCATAAATTATATATATATATATATATATATATATGAAAATTAATAAAAATAATTATAATATATACATATAAGTGTTACGCATGTTATATATGCTATAATATATATATTACATAATATGGATAATAAAATAAATATACATTCTACATACTATAATATATATATATATATATATAATACACTTAAATAATATAATATATATATATATATGCTTACAAAAATATGTTATATACCGTATATGTTTACAAACTACAAAGTAAATGGCATAAAATATATTATGAGAATTACCAACTTTTAATATATAATATAAAGGTAAAGTAATCATACATAATATATATATAAGACACCACCAACGTGAGTTAATAAACAAACATATCACATAATTAAAAGAATATTACTTTAATCATAGGGAACAATTATCAATACTACCTAAAAAGCAATTCTATCACTAAAGTTAAAGGGATCCGATGCTGAATATTAAAGATACAATTTTACCAATTATTTATCTCAGCCAATATTAATGAAATAAGAATAAAAATTACACAATCAAGACAACAATTTCGAAACTGAAATATAAAAACTGCAAAATCGATGACCAAATTGCAAATACGAGGTGAATGTAGGGGATTAAACTATGATTAAATCAAAAATTATAAAACATAGAGAAAAATGGAAAAATAATGAAATTGGTCCCTACTAGTGACTATTTTGTAAAACACGCTAAAATTAGAGTTATTTAAGATGCACCATTAAATTAGCCTATATATACCACCATTTTATCTTTTTTTTTTGTTTCATTTTCACTTGGTTTTAAAGAAAATGAGAGAAGTTCTCTCAATCTTCGGCCGGACACTCCCCGGCCAACCCAACTTGTCGTTTGGTCGTTATTCTGGCCACCTTGTGTGGTGGCCGGAGCCCTAAAATTCACCCAAAAAGATCCCAACGCCTAGATCTACTACCCTAAGCACCAAACTAAACCTAAAAACTCCCTAAACAAACCCAAACAACCACAAATCTAACCCCAACTATTCGGTTTCCTTAAACTCCGACCACCGTGAAGGCTCCATTCGACTCAAGTAAGCTACTGATCGACCCTCTTTTAGACTCGCATATATATATATTGTATGCAAAGAGTTTATTTCTATGTTTTCGAAACTAAAATATACCTTGAAAATAACTCTGTTATTTTTATTGCTTTTCGAATATGGGAGTCCCCCCTCTTTACATTTTTTCGTTCAGGTTATATAACCGATTCTACAATAGGTTTTTACTTTATTTTTTCTTGTTTTTTCTGAAACATCATGAGTGAAGTAAAACATAGATTGAAATCACGGGTTTGTCTTGGTCTTGATGTTTGACTTGTGAATCCAGTTGTCAGTTGGTGGAGAAGACTGTGATGGTACCAGATTCGGTGGCCTGGGCTCGATCTGGACCATTGGATGGGTCCAGATCGGACAGCTCTTGCAAGGCGACAACAACATCCAAGGAGGAAATCTTAACTGAGGGTTGATCTAGATCGTCCATCTCCAACTTGATCGTGCGACTGAGATGAAGTGGCGGCTGAAGCTACATGATGAAACCCTAGTTGGTATTGGGTTTTCATCCTTAGGTTTGTTGGACTGTAATTTGGGTTTGGGGTATTTGGGCCGAATCTGTAAATAAAAAAATTATGTTAGTAATCTTAAATAATAATAATAACTTAATAATAACGGGACAAAAATATCGAGTGTCGACAGCTGCCCCTCTTTGCTCATTCTTGTGTCAACATGAATAGGGAAAAGACGAAGAGACAATGCATTTTTCGTCCAGTCAACTAAATAAGATAAATGATCAGTTCCACTGTCACTCAAGGGATATCAAATCTGGGGATGAGAGGGATCTATTCCGCTTCTTCTAAAGGGAATATCAGATCTGGGGGAGTTGATCCATTGAATTGGGGTAGACTTGTTCCGCTGTCACTCAGGGAATATCAAATCTTGGAATAGGGTGATCTGTTCCACTTCTTCTAAGGAATATCAGATCTGGAGGAGTTGATCCATTGAATCGGGGTAGACTTGCTCCGCTGTCACTCAGAGAATATCAAATCTTGGAATATAGTGATCTATTCCACTTCTTCTAAGGGAATATCAGATCTGGAGGAGTTAATCCATTGAATCAGGGTAGACTTGTTCTGATGTTACTCAGGGAATATCAAATCTTGGAATATGGTGATCTGTTCCACTTCTTCTAAGGGAATATCAGATCTGGAGGAGTTGATCCGTTCCGCTGTCACTCAGGGAAGATTGGATCGGATTCGATTTGTTTTTCTCGTCTTTAAGAAAATTAAAACTAAAAATTAAACATTAACCTTGTTTAGTATGTATTTGAGGATTCGAAAACATCATACCTGAAAGTTTCGGAAAAATATTCTTTCGAAGCAATTTCTCTTGCGGGAGTTCGTCTTGCCACCACCACACATGGAAATCTGAACTCGTTATTTTTATGTTGGGTCCTTACATCTCTATCTTTTCCTTTTAGAGAACCTACAAGTACTCAATTTGCATTTACCATTATTATGCATTTCATGTCATGACCTTATTTATGCCTAAAATGCATGCAATGAAGCAATTATTTTGAGGGTATTTTCTTTTCAAACAAGAAATTTCTTTTATTGATGGACTTTGTACTTCAGTCTGATTTGGGTACGAAAAAATCAACAACAATTCCCCGATTGACAACTCTGGTTTGACACTCTTTGGTTGAACCTAACTCTGATTCTCTTTACTCTTTAAACCCATGTGCTTTTCATGACAAGCTATTTGATTAATGACAAGATTTCTTGGATTATCCCACATTGTGAGCCTTTGTATGTATCATAAGACCTTAATTTCTTGTAGCCCACCATCGCGTAAACCTCATACTAAGGCCATTTTCAGCTTCAGAATACCTGTATTTTTTCAAAACTTTTTTACAATAATGCACGATGATCTCATGTTTCCCGAGCTAATCTACATGTTTTCATTTTTTAATTAGAATTCTTGCAATGTGGAAAAAGACCTTTTTTATTTAAAAATAAAGATTTTTTTAAGTAAATACATGGAAAACTTTTAACTAGAATAATCAAAATAAAACACAGTAGGCGTCATCAGATATCAATAGTACGAATGCTTTTGAACTGACACACCGTAGGAAGACCCGAGTGTAGCTTCTGTAGAGGGGATCTTGAGGATTGTGGTAATGCTTAAGGGTGTAAAGTTCCCCTGTACTGCCAAATTCCCGACATTTGGATGTCGTAAGCCAGTGTTTGAATCTCGTTTACTTTCTTATTACCCGAGCTTTGCGATTTCTAACCCTGACTTTGACTACCATTTCAATTATTCAAAACTAATTTAGAATTTCTTTCATGCACCAATTATGAATTTACACAATTCTCAAGCCGCCCTTTACGGGTTTTCAACCTGAGACCTTTTCTGGTTTGAAGATGCCCTTTACGGGTTTTCATCTTGAACCCTCCTTTTATTTTATTTTTCTTTTTTCCTCATTTTTCTTTCCTTTTTTCTTTTCTTTTTCATTTTTAATCTTTTTCATTTTTTTCAGGCAAAATACTTCTTTATTGAGTCAGTATTCACAGGGTTAGGTAATTCTGGTCCATCTATCTCGGTGAGGATCAAAGCTCCTCCAGAAAATATCTACTTTACCACATAAGGTCCTTCCTAATTTGGCATCCATTTACCTCGAAAGTCTTTCTAAATTGACAAAATCTTTATTAGCACCAGGTCTCCTTCTTGAAACTCTCGTGGGCGAACTTTTTTGTTATGTGCCCTTATCATACGTTTCTGGTACATTTGCCCATGACAGATAGCTTTTAATCTTTTTTCCTCAATCAAATTCAACTGATCATACCTAGCTTGCACCCATTCTGCTTCATCTAGCTTAACCTCTGACAGCACTCGTAGTGACGGAATCTCAACCTCGATGGGTAGCACAGCCTCCATCCCATAAACTAAAGAAAACGGAGTTGCCCTAGTTGACATCCTCACTGAAGTTCGATAGGAAAACAAAGCGAATGGTAGCTTCTCATGCCAGTCTCTATAAGTCTCAATCATTTTCTGTATGAGCCTCTTGATGTTCTTATTGGCTGCCTCTATCGCTTCATTCATCTTTGGGCGATAGGTGGTAGAATTATGATGTTTAATCTAGAACTGTTTACATGCTGACTTCATCATCTTGTTGTTTAAATTCAAGGCATTGTCAGTGATGATCCTTTCTGGTAGCCCATATCGACAAATAATTTCTCTCTTCAAGAACTTGCAAACTGTTGAATGAGTAACATTTTCATAGGAAGATGCTTCTACCCATTTAGTAAAGTAGTCTATTACCACGAATATGAAACGATGGCCATTAGAAGCTTTGGGTAAAATTTACCCAATAACATCCATGCCCCACATAGAGAATGGCCATGAAGCAGTCATTACATGCAATGAATGAGGAGGGGTATGGAGCTTATCTCCATAAATCTGGCATTTATGACATTTTCTGGCGAAATTGATACAATCAGTTTCCAGGGTTGACCAATAATACCCAAATCTCATTATTTGTTTAGCCATTGCATGCCCATTAGCATGGGTACCACATACTCCTTCATGCGCTTCTTCAATGATCGTTCTAGCTTCTTTGGCATCCACACATCGTAGCAAGACATGATCATGACTTTTCTTATACAGGATCTCGCCATCAAGCACATATCCTACGACCATTCTTCGAATAATTCTTTTATCATTTTCAGTGGCCTGCTCGGGATAACTTTGATTTCTAATGTATTGTAAGATGTCGTAATACCAAGGATTTCCATCATCTTCCTCTTCTATGCCATAGCAATGGGCTGGATACCCATAAGCTTGCATCGTAATAGGCATCCTGCTTGAATGTTCATTGACTTTAAAGTCTGCTGCCAAAGTGGGTAGGGCATCCGCCATTTGATTATCTTCTCTGGGGAGATAAAGAAATGTCACTTTCTCAAATTGTTTAATGAGCTCTATGACCAACTTACGGTATTCCACTAACTTCGCATCCTTTGTTTCCCATTCACCTCTGAGTTGATAAATTACCAAGGCTGAATCCCCGTATGCTTTAAGTTTTTTCACTTTACGCTCAATGGAAGCTCTAAGACCCAAGATGCATGCTTCATACTTAGCCATGTTATTCGTGCAATTAAAGTTCAATCGGCTAGTAAAAGGATAATGTTTTCCACCAGGTGAGACCAAAATTACCCCAATTCCGTGCCCCAAGGCATTTGAGGCACCATCGATATTCATCTTCCACTGTTCATTAGTAGAGGAAACTTCCTCTTCAGTTGAAATAACCATTAAATCTTCGTCCGAAAAATCGAAGTTCAGTGGTTCATACTCTTCAGAAGCCCTACTTTCAATGAAATCGGACACAACACTTCCTTTAATTGCTTTTTGGCTTACATATTGGATGTCAAATTTAGACAATTAGATTTGTCAACGAGCCAATCTTCCAGATAAAGCAAGTACACCCATTAGATATTTCAGAGGATCAAGTTTAGATATCAGCCAAGTAGTGTGATACAACATATACTGGCTGAGCCTTCGGGTAGTCCAATCTAAAGCACAACACAACTTTTTTATTGGTGAGTACCTCGTCTCGCAATCAGTGAACTTTTTACTGAGGTAGTAGATTGCTCTTTCTCTTTTCTCAGTTTGGTCATGCTGCCCTAATACGTACCCCATTGAATTCTCAAAGATTGACAAGTAGAGGATTAATGGTTTGCCTGATATTGGTGGCATTAAGACTGGAACATTCGACAAATATTCTTTTATTGCTTCAAAAGCTCCTTGGCAATCATCTTTCCACATCCCTGGGTTATTTTTACGGAGAAGGCGAAAAATGGGATCGCACTTCTCAGTTAATTACGAAATAAATCGGGAAATATAGTTTAATCTTCCCAGGAATCCTCGAACTTCTTTTTGTGTTTGTGGGGTTGGTAAATCCTGTATAGCTTTGACCTTGCCAGGATCTACTTCAATCCCTTTTTTGCTTACTACAAACCCCAAAAGTTTTCCCGATGTTACCCCGAAGGTACACTTGCTTGGATTGAGTTTTAACTGGCATTTCCTTAATCTTTGGAAGAGTTTCCTCAGATTCTCGATGTGTTCTTCCTCCATTTTAGCTTTAACAATCATATCATTGACATAGACCTCTATTTCCTTATGCATCATGTTATGGAATAGTATTACCATGGCCCTTTGATAAGTTGCTCTTGTATTCTTAAGCCCAAACGGCATCACCTTGTAACAGAACGTGCCCCACATAGTGACAAATATAGTTTTTTCCATATCATCTGGATGCATCTTTATTTGATTGTAACCTAAAAACCCATCCATAAACGAAAATAGAAAGTTTCCAGCCGTATTATCCACCAGGGTATCTATGTGTGGCAGAGGAAAATTATCTTTCGGACTGGCCCGATTAAGATCTCTGTAGTCGATGCACATGTGGACTTTCCCATCTTTCTTTGGTATTGGAATGACGTTTGCTACCCATTCCGGATACTTGGCTACTTTCAGGAACCCGGCATCAAATTGCTTCTTTACTTCTTATTTAATTTTAAGTAGCATTTCAGGTCGCATTCTTCTGAGGTTTTGTTGTGCCGGTTTACATAAGGGCTTTATTGGCAACTTATGTACCACTAACTCAGTATCTTAACCTGGCATGTCCTCATACGACCAAGCAAACACATCTCTGTACTCTCGAAGTAGCTCAATCAGACTTTGTCGTCCCTCAGCAGATATGATGGTGCTAATTTTTATCTCCTTTTTATCTTCCTCTGATTCTAGATTCAAGATCTCAATGGGCTCTTCATGAGGTATAATTTGTTTATCTTCTCTCTCTACCATTTTTAGTAGTTCAGAAGGTAAGTCGCTTACCTCATCACTATCATAACCTTCAATTTCCCCTTGACATATGGGTAGCTCGAAATTTATCTTCAGGTCAGAGTCATCAGCATTCATACTATTGATATCGAAGGTCTTGAAAGAATAACGAACGAAAGGATATATATATATATATACAAATACAGGATGATCTATCCATATCAAAATATAATGAAATAATAATATATAATAAATAAATAAATAACGAGAAAAATGCAAGGGATGATGTTTGCCATTTCGTGAATTAACAGGAATGCATCATTTATTAAAATAAAAACAGATAGATTAACCCCTTACAGAAGATCACTTATTGTCCCGGGGTTTAGACAATAGGGAAAGTTTTTGTGCATTACTCTGAAACAGTTTTGTAAACTACAGGTAATTCTTCTGCAGTCTAATTGTTTAGCACAAAGCTTGGTGGTGTAGGGTAGATGCCCATAGCCATTCCATCTTCGATTCCTTCCTCCGATATCACATTTATACCCAAATCCCTCAGGACATTTTCAATAACAGGCTCTTTAGATGATCGGGCCCCCTGAAACACGTGGCCTCCAGATATGAAGGTGTTACACAGCGGTGAGAAAATCATGGGCTCCCACTTAATATCCTCCCCGGATAACCTGGTTTTTCTCCTTTCATGGCTCTTTTGAACATTTTCAACTTTTCTTTTAAGGTCAGATGATATCCCAGACCAAAACGATCTCGCTTAATATTGGGAAAAACTGGACTAATATTTCCCTGTAAGCGACTTCCAAGCCCTCTCCCAACCTTGGCTCCTCTTCCCAGAGTCATTTTCAGTTCCATTTTGGTACAGTTGGACAACCTTAGCTTTGGAATTTTCTTTCTTTCAGCAACAAAGGTGGCATTAACGAATTCCAAGGCTCTGAAAGAGCACTCGACTGTATCTTCATTTACTTCGACATATGGGGCGGTAGTAGATATGGAAGCAATGATATCTTCCTCGGCATTAAGGCATACCAGTCTCCCCTCAATTATAAATTTGAGTTTATGATGCAGAGTGGATGGCACGGCTCCTACCTGGTGGATCCAAGGCCTTCCTAACAAGCAGTTATAGGAGGGTATTATATCCATTACAAGAAATTTGACCTCGTAGGTTGATGGTCCTATGGTTAAAGGAATATCGATCTTCCCCAGTACCTCCTTCTTTGTTCCGTCGGAAGCTCGAACAATGCTTTGGCAATTTCTCATGTGTGTACTATCGACCAGGAGTTTCTTCAAGGTTATTAATGGCATCACATTTAGGGCAGAGCCGTTGTCGATCAATACTCATGATAACACATGTCCCTTGCACCTGATGGTAATATGTAGGGCTTTGGGGTTGCCCATCATTCCGGATGGGATCTCGTCATCAGAGAAAGAGATGAAGTTATACGCCTGAATATTTGTAACAAGTCGATCTATCTTTTCTACTGGCACATCTTTTGGTACGAAAGTCTGATTCAAGACTTTCAGCAAGGCATTTCGATGTGCCTCAGAACTTAATAGTAGAGCCAGGATCGAGATACGAGCTGGCAACTTGTGTAGTTGTTCGACGATGTTGTACTCATTATGCTTCAAAAATTTTAAAAACTCCACAGCCTCGTTCTCGGTTACTGGTTCCTTAATTGTTAGCTCATCATCTTTCAGCAATATCTCAACCCTTTTCCCTTTATCAACAGCCGCTCTTTTCTCAAGCTCTCTGGTCTGGTTGGGAGAATAACATCTCCCACTTTTGGTAAAGTGGCCTACCTTATCCACCTCTTCCTTAGCAGCCTCGGAACTTTCAATATTCTCTAATTGGCATCCATACCTCCAAGAGACCTGCTTGTTGTCCTTATAAGGAAATGACAATGGAAGTGTGATCACCACTTTAGGGATTAACCTTTCCATAGTCTGGGCTTTCGGTGTGATGACTAAAGGGCAGTTAGTATTGTAAAGTCCCTTGGATGTGCCTTCAGAAGTGCAAATCTCTACATCTTTCTCTTTCTTAGCTTCATTGTAAAATTCCATGTCTTTACTATCCATCAGCCTTTGAACCAAGGCCTTGAACTCATCACAATATTGAATAACATGATCCTCGCAACGGTGGTAGAGGCAAGCATGCTTATTCCCCACATCATTAAAGGTCAACCAGCCTACTTTGACCATTTGCCCCCATACCCAATGCATGGGTGACTTCACTTCATTGACTCTGGTTATAACTCCATTCCCTTTTTCTTCAATAACAGCATTAACCCCTGCCCCTACATGGTTCGGTAGTGAATTCTGAGCCACATTAGACTGCTCGTTATCACCGAAGTTGATGACATTTCTTTGCCTTAATCTTTGCACTAACTTTTTAAAGGCTAGACAGTTTTCAATTGAATGCTCTGATGCCCCCACATGATACTCACATTGAGCATTGATGTCAAAACATTTTGGGTAAGGAGACTGTATTGGAGAAGTGTGGTAAGGTGACACCACATGTTTGTCGTACAGGATCTGGAATAGTTCTTTATAGGTCATAGGGATAGGGTCAAATTGAACCATTTCCCTTTCTTATCTTGGTTCTTTCACCCCTTGTTTAACAGGATTTAGTGCAGACGATGTGGTGGCTTGAGGTCAGGATATTGTAATGTTATTAGAATCATATTTCTTCATATTATTAACCTTATTATCATTCCTTCTTGCTGGAGGTTTTCGACTAGATTCTCCCCCGTCTAGCTTCCCACTTTTGATCGTCATCTCAATCATTTCTCCTGCGTTGACTATATCAGCAAAATTCTTGGATGAATTTCCAATAAGATTTCCAAAGAACGGGGCCCTCAGAGTATTTACAAAAAACATATTAGTTTCTTCCTCCTCTAATGGTGGATGAACTTGCACATCTATATCTCTCTACCTTTGGACATACTGCCTGAAGCTCTCGTTAGATCTTTTTTCCATACTCTGTAACAAAATTCGGTTTGGCCTCACATCTTTTACGTGTTTATATTGCTCTAGAAAAGCCTTAGCCAAATCCTTCCATGATTTAATCTGAGTCCGACTTAGCTGATTGTACAAACGGATTGCTGAGCCTGTCAGGCTTTCTTGAAAACAATGAATTAATAGCTGATCATCTCTCACATAGCCTGTCATTTTTCTGCAAAACATGGTAATATGTGCAGAAGGACAACTGGTGCCATCAAATTTCTCGAAATCTGGAACTTTGAACTTTGGTGGTAGTACTAAATCAGGGACCAAGCTTAGCTCTCTGGCGTCGATTCCATATAAGCTAACATCTTCTTTCATAGCTCGAAATTCATGTTTCATTTGTTCCCATTCTTTCTTGAGCTCCTTATCATGTTCTTTTTTGTCTTCCTCATCCAAATCAGGGACATCTTCAATTGGTTGTGGGTTTAAAGAAGAGCCAGGTAGGTTTACTTGTATTCTTTCTGATTGTGTAGTTGATCTTTGTTGTGCTTTAACATGAGGTGGTGTAAAGCATGGGGGTATAGGGGTTCTTCATAGGTAATACCAATAGTTGGAGTTGTAACACCAATATTTGAAGCTTTTCCACGATCCACTTGTGGTACAAAACCTGGGGGATACAAAGGTTCTTCGATAGTAGCACTGACAGCTGGGGTATCTTATCTTTCAATATTTCTTCCTCGTAACATGCTCACAAGTTTCTCCATCAAATCATTCTGAGATGTTATCATTTGTTCATGTATCTCCTCATGAACTTTCTTAAAGCTCTCTTGTATGTCAAGCTGAGTTTTTTCGATTTGGACGATCTTGTTTTCCATTTTCTTTGTTGACTGACGAGTACCGTATGGGTGTGAGGTGTATGATAGGATAACTACAAATGATTGAAAATTGTATTTTATTATTTTGTGAATTTTAATGAATGACTTGTTATAATGTAATCATTAAGATTTTAAAAATTTAGAGAAAAAAACATATGAAAATGCAAATGAAAATGTAACCCAATATTGATTCCAAAATAACTTAGTTTATATAAAAAGTACTCAACAACACACAACATCTAAGCACTTAGGCAAAGAGATTATATCGACATAAATACTAAACGTAGAATCTTGCCATATTTCCTAATCTTTCAAGCTCTATCATCAATCCCATGATGCGCCGTTCTTCCTCTGTTTTTGGAATCACAAAAATTCTTAAGTTTTCACTTCATCAGATAACTCGTAGACTTGGCGAGCTACATTGCGAGCCAGATCCATTGCTCTCTCCATTGCTTCATGTTGCCTTTGAATGATATCCTGAGTCTGTCGTAGAGCAATTCCAAGCTTTGAATTAGTTAATGGTCGGCTCTCTTCTAGCTGTTAGATTCGTTGATGGCATCTATGCACTATGACTTCTAATTCAGTAATCTTCGCTTTTAAGGCCTCGTTTTCTTGCATGGTTACCTCTTGTGCGGATGAGTGGATCAACCTTGCTCCTTCTAGCTCCGTTATCTTCTTCTTTAACATCTCATTTTCTTTTTGAAGACTGTTGTAAGGGTTCCAAAAAGTCTCATCGATACTAAGCAGTTGTGCCTCAAGCTATTCAATCTGTGCTCGCCTTTGTGCTAATTCCTGGTTGGCCTCATCTCTTTGCTCTCTTAGTTTTCGAGCATGTTGTATGGCTCGCTTCTTTTCTTCTTGGCCTTTTATAACGCTTCTTTCTATCCTATCTAGTTTTATCTTTAGGGTTTTGGCAGTATGATGTAGACCATGGGCTCTCATATTCTTCTCTAAGGCCCGAAAATCTTGGTTTAGCGTATCAAAATTCTCCTGGACCTTCTCTTTCTCTTTGACCAATTGTTTTATCACTCCATCCTTCTTAATCATTTCGAGTTCCCATATTGTCTTTTCTTTCGATAAGCTTCTCTGTTCTTTTTCTCTCTCTAGATTCATCATACGCATTTCCTCTTTTAACAACTCAGCTTCTGTCAGGAGCCTCCTCAATCGCTCCTCCATAGTCAACTTGTCCTCTAAATTTGGCTTAGGTGTGTTGTTGTTAATTCTCTGCGACCTCCAAACCTCATAGGCCGACGTGAATACATGTTCTATCATCTTGAAGCTCATGCATTGAGGCTTCTGTCAAGCCGCATAGATCTTTGAAATCCGCTCTCGGTAACCCGGAGTAGAGAAAGAAAACTCTACCTCTTTCAGGTTGTGGGTAGCTGGTACGAACTGCCGGGTACTGAACTGTCTGAGTACAATTAGCGGAGTATACCCGATCGCTCCCCATAATCCATGCAGCATTACAAAACTATCGTTACCGCACCTAAAAAGTATGTCCTCTTTGGGTAACCAGTAAGCCTTCCATACTATCTCAGTATCTTTCATGTTACGGAGAGCTTCAACCCAGTCTTTCCTCTTACGATGCTCGGGGATTTGGCATTTGTTGAGGAAATCCACTAGAGGCGAAAAATTTGATTGATGTCTCCGAGCCCAACCTTTCTCGACTATCTAGGAGTGGCTCCACCACCAAACTAATAATAGTAAGGCACATCCGGTTAACTGACCTCCCCCCCAATCGTCTACACTGGTTCAGTGACAAGAATATTTCCGCAAGGATGGCTGGTGCAGGATTCTTTCTAGAAATAGCTTCGACGAAATCGATTAAGGCGATGTCGAAGTGATCCTCATTTCTGGGAAAAATTACCAAACCATATAAGTGATCTCTTCTTCTTTTCGATGGAGTTTTCTCGTAAATTAAACTTTTCAGCTGAGCCTAAGAGATCCCCTCATCACAAATGTACTCTTCGACCCACTCCTTGGTCTTTCCTGTCAGCGTGATCATCTTGGTTATGAACCCCTTAGGTCGAATTGCCTTGGTGTAAATGAAATATCTTCTAACATTCGGGATGTTCAGCAAAGTTGTATACTTCTCCAAGGTCGGGGTCATGTCTACTTTACCAAAAGTGAAACACCTCTAAGCTGGATTCCAATACTCGGTAAGGGCTCGAACCACCACCGAATCTATTGGTACTCTCAGTAGCTCTATAATGTCGTCGTATATCCCTCTGAATAGTGTCTTCTCATTATCATCCCAGGTAGACCAAATTCTTGATAACTCAACCCAGTGTGCCTGTCTGACTCGGATAGTTACCTTTTATGGTAAAATTGAATCTTCGGTAGTGACAAGGTTGTCCTCGAATCGTGTTTGTCCATATTCAGACCAGGTCTGAACACTGGTTGCATTCTCAGTCCCGTCGGAAGACATTGATGCCTTAAGCTTTTTTTATAATAACTAGGTGATATAGGAATCAATACCGTTTATGAAATGATGTGATATGATAATGATACATGCAATCAGGAAACAAAACAATAAGTTAGTGATATTAGAATAATTCAAAAAATCAAAGAAAAAGTAATAAAAATTTAAAGTATCAAATGCGAAATAATCAAAGAAATTTAGAAATCCTAACATCATGTGATCTAGTTCTTCTAAGTTACCCGCATGGCTTTAACGAGGTAGGCTTACTAAATTCTTTATATGAGGTTGGGTTCTAGAAAATGGTTCCCAAGCCATCTTTACAACATGCTAAGGTTGCCCCCCGATTTTGACCCATTACAGATTTGTGAATCGAGTTCAGCTCAGGGGATTACACCACTAAAAGCGTACCTCAGATCTGGTATCCGGATAGGCAACTTAGAGTGCTTTCCAGAGATACTTTGTCAGACCCACACAAGAAAGCCCAATGCTCCTCGTGAGGTGTGACGTTTTTCTCTACTTAGGTAAATCAGGGTCGGGTTAGAGCTTATGATATGCAACACTCCTAAATATTTCACAGAAGTGTAAGCATTAACCGGAGAGAAAATCTTTTTTTAAGACCATAATGAACCATATATTAAATAAGATCGAACTCAAAATTTTCAAAATCATAAATATAGGGTACCCAACTTGTGGCTAGACTCTCAACTTGTTTAAGAAAAACAAAGGTCCCCAGCGGAGTCACCAAGCTGTCGTAACCGTTTTTCGCCCGGGCGGGGAAAAATCGATATCGACTGGGGTTTTCTCTTTGAAAATCATTTCGAAAGGTGAGGAGTCGCCACCAATCATTTGAGGTGCGATTGGAACACCATAAAAATTGGATGATTTTAATAAAACATTTTGTTTTTATCGAAATACCGAGTTTTGAGGTCTGCGAAAATCCAAAAATTAGGTTCGGGAGTCGGTTACGCGTGGGGAATGATTAACACCCCCACAAGCGCCCAAAAATTGGTACCTAGTTGATTACCCTATATTTAAAATTAGAAATTTGGAGTTCGATCTTTATTTAATTTAAAAATCATTAAGGATGCAAAGTTGAAAAGGGTATTCGTTTATCGAGACCGATAGCATTCACCCCCGAGCATAAATGCGGGAGATCAACTATTATGCCTAATAACCGCATATTACCTCATTTTTAGAAAACATGATATGATTTTGAAAAGGATGTCGACTTATTCAAGGAATTACCAGTAGTCACCCCCTGAGCACGATCGCGGGAGATATACTATTAATTCCTTAATAAGTGAATAGTGCCTTAGATTTGTAAAAAACAATGCAATCAAACAAAATTTTATTTGTCCTAATTAAACTAAAAGTAAATTAAGGCTTATTCTAACTTAAAGTGTCAAATTATGAAAATTAAGGAACTTATGGGCTCAAATCTTAAAATGTAAGTTCTAGTATTAAAGTTTAATGCTATACATTAAAAATGGATTAAATATCCACATATTAGAAAATTTCTTTCGATAATTTTAAAATGATCGAATATCACCCTTAGTTAATTTATTTCGATTAGAGTCAAGGGATGCTTATGAGGCTATCATGTAAAATTAATTAAGATGTCAAGCAAAACATATGTA